AGATTATCAGTTGGCTTAATGTTGTGTCACAAGCCTCATCCTGCCCCAATCTGAAAGCAAGACCCAGTTAAGGGCTTTCATAAAAGTTGTATATATTTGCCAAAATTATTGTTTTTGGGACGTTCTTTTTTCCTCAGAGTTGTGGTACTGGAGAGTAGACCAACAGATAATCCTACTGCCAATAGCAACTTGTACATCTTAGCAGGTCATGAGAACAGTTACTGAAAGGCAACAAGATAAGGAAACACTACTGCGTCAATACATCTTACAGCAATTGCACAAAAGCAAATGGATCCCAACTACAGTTATTTTGTAATTTATTGTGATGTATGAGTGAAAACAAGAATGCTTGCCCGACTGATATGCATATGATTAGCACATTCTGCAGAACTCTTGATTTACTATTATGTAATGTTTGTACATATATGCAGTATTTTTGTTGAAGTGTATTACTGGAGGCCTCTCTTGATTTTTCTGTAGATAATGGACAAAATATTTTACTTGTACAGATATGTAAAGTTTGCTGAGGACAGAAAATTGTGTTTGGGTACTATTTTAAGGACTAATGGGATGCTACTGATAAACACAGTGCATTTAAATAACACTATTGTATTTTATTATGTAATTTACTAATATAAATAAATCTTATCTTTCAGACATTGTAATCAAGGCGGTAATCCTATTACAATCTTCTTTTTAGTTCTATGCAAGTACACTGGTGTTTTGGTTGCACAAAGTGTTAATATGTAATTATATTCAGTCACAAAAGTACATTTGTGGAAATAATTTAGGCTTTATAATTTTAGTTTATTTAGGTAGTTCTCTTTGTGAAACCAGCCAATTGAACACCTATATTTTTATATTTAAGGAAAATCCTCTTAATTATTTTCTATGGTTGGAGAAAAAAAATACCTATTTTGAATTGGAATAAATCCAATAGAGGTACCTTGGTGTAATTATAAGTGTGTACAATGATAATATAAGCTTTATTATGATGAGTCTTACTCGCTACTATATCATGCAAAACTTTAAAGCACTCCACACTGTGGAAGTGTCTAAATATTTGGAGTTAGATCCAGATAACCATGTGCAAAAGGCCGTAGTACTGTATGCAGTACTTTGCAGATATTCATTAGCACTTGCATTAAAACAACGTATACTTTATTAAGAAGAAATTGACGATCACTAATGAATTACCATTGTACCCTGTTGGATCTGCAGAGTTCCTCTGATTCTTATAGGATGATAGGGCCATAGGGCTCCTGCTGGATTCATGTGTAGATAGAAGCTTTTCTTTTAGTGAGGAATATGAATCAATGGTTTTAAAATTACATTCAAGGATCTTTGCTCTTCCTCAGACATAGCAACAAAGTTTTCAAACAGAAGATCAGTAACAGACCAAAGCATTTCTTTAAAAAAAGGAAATGCTTATTGCAACTGGTTTTCCCAACCTCACATGTAGACCAGCCTCTCAGATTCAGGAAAGCCAGCAACCCATATGCACCCTAACAACAGGAGTGATGAAATTATGACCTTCCTTGTGATGCTGAGCTATAACTTCTAAAGCCCAAGTGTGAGAGAAACTGGAGTACATTAATAATTAGTAGAAGGTAACAGCTTCTTGACACTAATATGCAACATGCACATATGTTTTTCTGAAGAGAAGGATGCTTCCAACCCACTGCCATCAAGGACACCATAGATTGACTACCTGTTCTGGAGAAAAAGTGATACTAGGTGGAGTAACTGTTTTAAGGAATTTTGCTTTTGTTTAAAAGAAATGTTTTGCCTTACTACTGTTGTCACATTTTTTCTCTCTTAATATCTTAACACCTAGCCAGAATTTTAGTTACTACCTCACAAAATTAAATGGTTATAACACATCACAGGAATTTTAGTTTTGAGCAAAACTATTCTGATTGTTTTCAGTGGGATATGTAGATGCCATGTTTTAGAGAAAATACGTCCTTTTTGTATATGTTCTTTATACTGTGATAAAGTAAGAACAAAGTACATTAAAACTGATTTATGGTCTGTATTGTTGTTGGTAATGAATATTTCCTAATGTATATAATGTAAAATAAAGTTTTTAACATGTTTGTTGTTGATATGGATTAGCATCTGCAGTAATTTTCCAATGAAATTAAGCACTTGCTAATTGAGGAAGAATATTTTTATTGAAATCAGCTTTGATTGGAAAAAAAATTCAGACAGCTTAATAACTCAATTAACTTCCTTTAAATTGTACTGCATAATACAAAGTAACTATTGCAGCATAAGTACGTCTTATAATAATATTAGCATCTAAAGAGGTCCTCTTAATCATAGAGTCCTTTGGCTTTTGATTTCCCACCCTATGACTTGCCCTGGCTAATTGTATTCTGCGGGGATGGAAGTGATCATAATCTAGTCCACAGGTCTCAAACTCGACCATGTCGCTGGCCAGAGCATGACATATTGTGGAGCCGAGGTGAGTATGGCCTACAGGGACCGTATCAGGTCTGCAGGCTGCCGATTTGACAGGCCTGAATTTTATTTTTCTAGTCCAAACTTTCATGCTTATTTGCTTTCCAGCCATAGAGCACATTCCCCTTTATCTGAGGTGAAACCTTCTCTTTTTAAATGAACACTTTAAAGTTCTTGAGCACAGAGCCACACACAGCAAGACTTGTATATGTGGACATCCACCAGGTGACAAGAAATTATGTAATGTATCATAATTTTACAGTTCTTTAATACATGCTTTGTAATGTAATACATGCTTTGTAATGTAATGGGATGAGCAATTGTTACAATGAATATTCTGAAGAAAGGTTGCTGCAGAAATACCTGTTGAGAAGTCTTATTGAAAAGCCAAGCTAGTAATTATTGACCAGCTATAAGAAAGCTTTTATTTCCTATCAAATCTAAGCAGACTGATATCAGCTTACAGAATAGCAAAACAACCACAATGGCACAGTAAAGTACCGTAGATATAAGTAAACTACATATATTGCTACATTTTTATTAGTTCAAGTTGGTGTTGATTCCTGCTGATCACCTGGACAACCCTGCAGTTTTCTTGGCACGATTTCAAAAGTAGTTTGTCATTTCCTCCTTCCTAGGGCTGAGAGAGAATGATTGGCCCAAGGTCACCCACTGCCTTTGTGCCTAAGGCAGGACTAGCATTCATGGTCTTAAGAGTTTCTACCTGGTGCCATTACTATACCAAATTGGTTCAACCACAATTAAAATCCACAGTAACATAACTACAGGTATTCCTTGACTTACAGCCATTCACTTAATGGCCATTTGACCAACCACATTTACTAACTTATCAACTGCAATGACTCAAGTGTGGCAGGGAAGGTTGTAAAATGGGGCAAAACTCAAATGTCTCATTTAAGTTTTCAGTTCAATTGTGGTCGTAAGTTACATGATCAAAATTCAGCTGCTTGGCAACTGTTTCATATTTATGACTGTTGCTGTGTCCTAAGGGCACATGATCCCCTTTTCCTGTAATTTCTTCACAAATTGTCATAATTTAGAAATAAGCAGTAAGGTGGCTAAGTTTACAGCCACTCTATGCAGGGTGGTAGAAAGTGAAAATGATGAACTCCAAAAAGATATGTTTAAACTGGCTAAATGATGTAGAATTTTCCTAATCAAGAGTCTTCTGAAGCACTGTAAAAACGCTATTTCTGCCATTCTCTATAAAAATTTTTTTCAAAATACTAGGAAGGGGGGGCATATATATTAGGAGCCTCTGTGGCCAGTGGTCAGAGTGCAGCATTGCAAGCTACTTCTGCTGCAGCCAGCTGCCTACAATTTGGCAGTTCAAATCCCACCAGGCTTAAGGTTGACTCACCCTTCCATCCTTCCAAGGTGAGTAAAATGAGAACCCAAATTGTTGGGGGCAGTTGCTGATTCTGTAAACCACTTAGGGCTGTAAAGCAGTATATAAGTCTAAGTGCTATTGCTATTCTAATTGGACTGATTAGAACTTTAGAACAACACATAATCCATGGAATCGTCACAAGATATTGTGAAGAATACCTTGGAATGAGAAATTTATGGAAGAAAAGTCGGTAAAATGAAGACCCAGATTGTTGGGGACAATATGCTGACTGCAAACTGCCTAGAGAGGACTGAAGTGGTATAGAAGTCTAAGTGATATTACTATCAGGGGAGAAGAGGCAATGTTATCTCCAAACTGCTTGCATGGGAAGAAAAGCAGAAGATTTGTCTTTGTTTCCCATTTGTAAGCCCTTTTGTTTCTTATGACATTCTTCTGGAATTTCAAACAGGTGAATGGACACTTTTATGAGACGTTCTTTGGAGGCTCATCCAGGACCCTTCCTTTCTGTACATTTTTTATTTGGGGTTACAGAGATCAAGGAAACTTTTACATTACTTTTACATTTACGTTCATGGTATCAGGCAGTTTCCAGACAGTTTAGGAAAACAAGATTAAGCACAAACACATTTTAAACTTGATTCTTGAACTGCATATATTTCAAAACTAATAAAATGTTTTTTTTCCAAGGAAACATGAGAACCTGAAGTTATTAAGAGTTATATCAAAGTTATTCTTGTGCCGCCAACGTAGCGCCACACATTTTCGTAACTGCACGGAAAAGCATTCCTTCAGCTTCCTATAATTCCACAGAATCCGCAACGTTCGTTTACTGTCAAACCAATTATATGAAGGAATCCAGTATTATCCCGCGTTGTTTTGTTTTGAATGTTCAAGTACAGACCCCGACTGGGAGTCATGAGTCCTCCAGGCCACAGGCGGCGCTTGGTCAGATCTTGCCTCCCCACCCCCTTTCCAAAGCTAAAAACAGCTTCGCTCAAACATTCGGTTTTCGATTCTCGATCCTAGACCAAGCAGAGGTTATGATTAGCTCACAGTCTCACTTCCGCACTTCGGAGGAAGAGGAAAAGGGAAAGCAAAGCGAACAACTTCCAAAGAAGACGCTTCGGGAAGAGGAAAAAAAAAGAGGAGTGACTGAACCTGAAGTGCGCATGCCCAATCAGCCTTCGCGCTAACTGCGCATGCCTCGGCGGTTATAGCCATCAGGACAAGGGAAGAATCCCAAGAGTTCAAAGCTACAGTTGAGACCCTGCCCCTTCTTCTCCAGAGTAACCGTCATTTTCCTCTCGTGGACGGTTTCTCCTCGGACCTTTTTTCAGTCTCAGACCTGTCAGGACGAGAGATAGGATGTCCGGTGGTGTCTTGTCACAGGCCAGTCCCGGCGCTGAGTGAGACAAGGCCAGGCCGGGCGGCGGGTGACCGGGAAAGGGATGTCGCCTCCGTCCCCCGACGTTGGGTTTTGCCGCTGCCGCCTTTGGCGGCTCCCGTTGTCTCTATCCTCCGGTGGTTCTGGTCGCTCCCCGCGACCTTCACTCCAAGCCCGGGAGCAACGTCGGGCTCGACAGTGATTCCCGTCGTTTCCCCCCCACCCCTTAGGGGGCGGGACGGGGCAGGCAAGATGCAAGCGGCTCCGCTGCAGTACGAGTTCTTCAGTGAAGAGAATGCACCCAAGTGGCGGGGTCTGCTTGTGGCCGCCCTAAAAAAGGTGAGAGAGGCTTTCTCCTTCCAGCGCACGTTGGATTTACACATAACCTCGAGAAGGCGGCTTGCAGATGAGACCGTGAAGGTTAGATAATGCGTGTAGATTAGAGATAGGTTAGCTAGATAACGCATAAAGACTAGATACAGTTACGTAGTTAGCGCCTGAGGTTGATGACCGTTGGCAATTAGTTGAGGTATTAGGTAACTTTCCGCGGGAGAACCTATACCTGTTCCCTAATTACTTGGATATACACCTAATTGCTTGGATATACACCAGGGAATTGTGATAATCGAATGTCAGTGGGTTTTGGTACCTGCATAATTTGCCTTGGGGAAAAACCAGCATGCACATTCTGCAAAAATGTATGCTAGACTGCAGTAGAGAAATCCATGCACTGGGTTGAAAATAGCCCCCAGCAATTACTTACTGGTCATAACATACATTAGTCTCTTGTATCTGCCTAGAAACAGATAGTGGAAAAGGAGGCAGGAAATTGAAGGAACTAAAAGAATATGCAGACACACAACAAGAAGACATTAATATTAAGAGTATTTTCAAAAAAAAAATTCAGATTGATCATAATAACTTGCAAGTAACTCAGCATGTTAGAGGAGTGAATATTGGGAAAGTTAAATAGCCTTGAGATACTAGAAGACTACTACAACTGTTTATGAGAAACTGGTGCTCTGCTTTGCTTTTTCTAGAGCCATTCCTATGTATTCTCTTATTTTAATTTCGACATGAATCAAGGATTTTGCTGAAAATAAATGATTCAGGATTAAGTGCTTGGATGGGAGACCACCGGGAAATCTTATTTGGTATTTTGGATGCTATGATGAAAGACATTATATAAATCTATCTAATGGATAATGCTGTACAGTGAATATATGAGTGTGTTTTTCTTTCAAACCTGCATCATGTTTAATTATTATAATTCTCTTGACTAGCATGTGCTAACCTGGTTTTAAGCCAGGTTACTCTGAATTAAAGTTAGCATTTATTGCAGATTTCTTATAACTTATGTGAAGATGAAAAAGTTATGGGGTTTTGCTGTTTCATTTATCAGAATGACTGTTTTCTGCATGTTATATGTATATTGCTGCGTGCATTGCATTTTCTTGATTGAAGCAGTGATCAAAGATTAAGTTTTTCAGAGCAACTGAAATTTAAGTATGTGTTACATCAAGATTGTGCTTAAACTTTTACGCTCCAGTTGAAAAACATAAGGTTTTGCAGCTGCTTCCCTACTTCACCTTGTTTACTGGAAATGTGTGAATTGACTACTACTACAAGCTATAGTTTAATTAAAGGAAGTGTTGGTATCAATAGTACCTATTTCATTTATGTGTTAGCTTTGCTGCCTTCAAGAGTACAATATAGGGGACACTGCAGTTCCTCCAATTTTTTCCCCATGCTATTCTTATGCATAGAGTGAGATGAGATGAGAAAATGATCATCCCAAGTCACCAAATAAAACTTCTATTGCTGAACGTTGAATTCATAATCATTATCCAATATCTTAAATTTACTACTACCTGGTAGTATTGCATTGAATGTTGATACTATTGAAATAGCTTTTTAATCTAATTCTAGAATAGTAATTAGTTGTAATTCAAAAATGTGTGTGTATACACACACAAATACTTTCACCTATATTTAAACTACCTGCTCTTTTCACGTTTAGTTAATATTAATGTCTCTTATTTGCTAGTCAAATCACTCAGTGTGATTACTGTGCTTGTTTAGAAATCTTAGTGTAAGTCCTACTCATAAACAAATATGTAACTGATGTTTTGGGTTGCAGAAATTAAGCCTCAGTGTCTATGGACAAAAGACCCAAACAGAAATCCACTTTGGCAAGGGAGGAGGAAATGAAACCATAAGCTGTGGTCTATGTCTGTTTTAACCTCATACAATATTGGAATTATCTTTGTGTTGATTTCTGTTTATTTCAGTTTTCTATATGATATTTGTTGAATTGTGTATACAAAAATAATGTACACAAAACATGAGGGAAGACAATAATGAAGGGGAAAGAAAGGAACTAATAGCTTTGGAAAGTAAGTCTCCTTTATTCCCAGCTTTGCTGGTATTTGCTGACCTAGACAGTAAGTGAAGAACAACTTCAAACTTTTCAGTTCTGTGCAATGTTGTATTTTAAGCATCCTCCCATTGAACACAAGGGTTGTAGATTAACTGTACCATTGGCATAATTGGTGACTCCAACAGTTTGAATTCAGCTAAGCTGCCCAATTACCAAAGTACCCTTCATCCAGCCATTGCTGACAGAACTTTACATCTTTCCCAATTCTTGGCAAATAAAATATACTGTATTATTGGAACCTCCACCTTCCACTCAGATCAGCATCTCTGCAATATCCTACTCATGTTCACCAGGCAACATAAATTTAGGGCTGCACTCTTATATAGCTTTTAAAAGGATCACTGTAGAGAAGCATCTTCAGGTGATGACTGCTGTTGCACAGTATTTTTCCAGGACACATTAAATGATTGAAATTTGTGAGGTCTATGGATTTCTGAACTTCTCATACTGACAACTCATAAGATCTGACAAGTATGTATGTATGTACAGGATACCTAGCCATTGGATACACATATGGGAAACTGATTGTATGTTAATTAAATAGGACTTCATATACCAAGGCAATAAAACTGTGAGAAATTGTTTGAGGCAAGCAAGCAGGTAATCATTACCTTTATTTCCTGCTTATAAGGTTCTTCAATATCTGACTGGCCACTGTTAAGGGCAGAGTGCTTAGTAGATATTTTCTCAAATGTGATAAGCTTTGCTTCGATTAATGATGGCCTATTTAATATTCAAAACCAAACAAGCCACATTTTGGCTTTAGCATGTTCTACAATCAAATCCTAGCCTTTGAATCTCCTTCGTTTATAAAATAAAGAGGAGGGTATTCTGCATCAGATGTTGTTGTCTCATCAGTATCTAATTCTATTTCTTGTTTGATTCAAATACTAGTCTTTTTCATCAAATGGGTGCACCTAAAGAATTGTGCTAATACAAGTTGAGTCTTTTTGTTGTCTGCTTTACAATGAACCGCATATGATTTTTACATCTCTAAATATTTATGAAACTTGACAATTGAAATCAATGTCACTTTCTGAGTAAGTGAATATGGTATTTTTAAAATATAGGTTTCAATCAAGGTAAAAGTTATAGGAAAATAAATTAATGCAGTAGTGTTTATATATTTTGGAAAGTATAAATGAATATTCAGATTTACTGCTGTTTCTAAATACTTTATATGCTTAATCTTGTCACTAAAGTAAAACATTACTTCAGTCTCTTCATGTTATAATCATGCTTTCTGCAGATAAATAAAATTAAACTTATTTTATACATCAAATTTAGAAACCTCCCATCTCACTCAATATTAGCATATTACTGATATCCTTTATAATAGTTTTGTGCCCAGTGGTACTTAAAAGGTGGTCAACCTGTTGAATTTTCAATACTTCTGTGTTACTTAGGGTGAAGTTTAGGATTCCCACCATTTTGCTCTTTAAAAGGTTGTTGCACTATCTCTTGCCCATTTTCCTAGCAAAAACTAAAGTATACTTTAAACATAAATGTAATAAAACATAAATGTCATAATATATCACCTATGTTTTATATATAGCTTATTTCATATTTTTTAAAATAATAAAAGATACGGATATCTGTTAATTACAAATTTCCTTTTCCCTTGTTGCTTCAATATTCCAAGAAATAAGTTTTTGGGATAATTTTTAATATGCAATTTCAGTCATTTGAATTGCAATCAGAAATGGTACTCTGTAAAGGAAATGTGTTAATCACCTTGTCTGCTGGTTTAAGATGACCAAGTCAAAGTTTTTATACTTCTTTGAACACTTTCTTGCCTTTGTATTCAATTTCATCCAGTGAGTTCATAGTGATTCATAAATCTGAACCAGTAATTTTCAATGCACATTTCTTTGTCTTAACCATAATGCTGCTTTCATTCTTCATGTCTTTTTCCTTTCACAGTTTAAATACTCTTGATGTCTATGGTCTGAATCTAAGGTTTTTAATATGCCTTTTGTAGGCCACCAGGCTCTTAGCTGTCCACATTTTTGTAATGAATTATCTTATAAGTTTAATTATTTGTTGAATATAGGTTCAGATGCAAGTCCACCCCAAACTATCTTCTACAGAAGATGCTTTGCAGTATGTTGAGGAGTTAATTCTGCAGTTACTAAATATGCTGTGTCAAGCTCAGCCAAGAAGTTTCTCAGATGTAGAGGTACCACTTGTAGTTCATTCTATACATTATTGATGTTCTTCTTGTTGATATACAGGTAGATCTCAACTTAAAACCGTTTAATGACAGCTCAAAGTGGCTGCATTTAATAACCGTTATAAAAATTGTCATAAAATCAGGTCTGATTTGATTTATGACTGGTATGACTTCTAATGATAATTCTGGTCTCAATTGTGACCATAAGTCACAAGAGACCTAAAGAGACCTACCTGTATTAAGAAGTACCCATAATTTATTTTTAACTTATAGATACTTAAGTATAAAATATGTATTTAATTGTTATAAAATTTTGACATAATTTTGCTATGTTGCTTTGTTTATTTCTACTGCTATATTGAAAATTCCTTTGGCACAAAGGAAGGATATGGGATATGGGAGGAAAAATAAGTAAGTAAGTAAATAAAATGTTATGAAGCAGCAAATTGAGTTTGACCCTGTTAGAGTATGTTGGTATCTGTGACTGCAGAATATACTAAACACCAGCTATTTTTGCTACTGCAGAATTTTGTAGTTAGAATGTTAGCTGATTTGAATATGTGGGATTATATTCTGAATAAAATTTTAACAGCTGCCCATTCACCTCTAAGCATGACTCTAATTAATGGTTCATATCTTTATATTCAAAGTATCTTAAATCCTAAAGATCTTAAGAGTATTCCCCCCATTAGCTCACCTGTGCATTAAAATAATTGGATGAGGATCTTCTCTTAGTATCTTTGCAAGAGAAGTGTAGAATGAAGGCATTCTTTGGTGACATTGCAGTTCTCAAATGTTCCCCTGAAGGGATATTTGTCTAATGCCATTATAACTATTTTAAAGATGTCAAATAAAACTGTAATTTGCTTAATTGTTTTAAATGCATAGCAATAAAGTTATATACTGGTCCCTAGTGCTTTACAGCGATCTGATCAGTTTACAAATGTCAGCATATTGTCCCCAACAATCTCAGTCCTCATTTTACCAACTTCAGAAGGATGGAAGGCTGAGTCAACCTTGATTAGTAAGGATTGAATACCTGGCTGTGAGCAGAGTTAGCCTGCAATATTGCATTCCCACCATTGCACCACCACAGGTCTTATCAATTGTGCATGGTTTATTTGAGCCTATCCCATTATAATTTTGGATTAAATAATTTGCTGTACATGTTATACTTGTGCTTTGAAGGTAAAATGAAATACAGAGTTTTTTAAAAATCCCCCCACCCCACCCCCAAAGCAGCTTTAGTTACTCAGGACATGGTAATGCAAAAAGCTATCTACTGTTTATATATTTAACTCTATATATTTCCTCTGTATGTTCCAAGGATCGTGTCCAAAAAAGTTTTCCTCATCCAATTGATAAATGGGCAATAGCTGATGCGCAATCTGCCATTGAAAAGAGGAAGAGAAGAAATCCGTTATTTCTTCCAGTAGAAAAAATCCATCCACTCTTAAAGGTAAGTAATATGAACACAATATATAAAATATTACAAATTCAATAGTTTGTTTTTCAAATAACCAGTAGTATTTTGAAAGAGAAACTAATTTCTTAAAACTTTCAAATAGAATTTATCTTCCAATCCATCTAAATCAGTTTAAACAATCTGTCACTCTTAATAAATATTGCAATTAGATATCTGCATATTTTAACTGGCATTAGTAGCCAGTAAAAAGTTTGACAGTCAGTGTGCTACTTCTCCCATTACTCTGATGAGGATTAGATGATGAAGAACTTGCAGGTGCTTCAGCAAAACAAAGACCAGGCATTATCCCTGCCCTTCTCTTTAGGTTGAGAAAAGGATTTCTTCCTTGTTATGTGTCTGTGACACATGATACTTGGGGACTTGGAACACTTAAACTTGCCATAGCTCTGGAGAAAGGTTGAAGGTTACAATTTTCATAACATCATAGAATTGGAAGTGATCTCAGAGATTATGTGGTCTAATCATCTGTTTCATGGAGGGTCTATTAAAACATTTTGGATAGATGGCTATCTATCCTTTATTTAAATACTTCCAGTGAAAGGAAAATGATGCAGCCTTCATGGTGTACTACTGGTTGACAGCTCTGTGATACTTCTCTAAAAGAGGTGAAATTATAAACCTGCCTCTGTTCCAAGGCATGGTGTTAATGTAGGAGTGATCTATTGGTCAATTCCCCATAATATCCTTATTCCATCCTGTCAGCATCATTTCTAGTTCTAGAAATGCCTTAGTTTGGGCTGCCTACTGTATAGGTTTTGTTTTAACTCTTTTATTCTGCTCTTTTTATTGAATTTGGAAGCTGTTCAGAATCTTTTGGAGTGGGCGGCAATATTAAATAATTTAAAGTAAACCTATTTTCATAACCAATACAGGTGAAAAGTAATATGTATTCTTAGACAGTCTAAATGCAAGATTTAGGCACTTTGGATTCTGAAAATTTTAATTAGTTATTACATGTTTCAGTATAAATGCATGAATTACATATAAAAAGGGAATTAAGCTGTATTTTAGCATTGAATTAAAAATGCATTGTAATTCTAAAAATATATATGCCATCATCACCAATGTGTCATCTGAGTTACTATACTTTGTTCCATAAAATATTAATATCAAACATTTGATTAAATAGTGCAACATCCAATACAGAACAATCAAATTCTGGGTTATATTGAGGACTGTCTGCTCCCAAGAGTATCTGTTCATCCCATATGCTGCAAGATAGTTTACTCTGGGTATCAGCTTGTGGGACCCATGTGTGCCTTCTCAGTGCTGGTCCCTGCTCTTTGGAATGATTCCCCACCCGTACCTTCATTGACAAATGGTTGGGCCTGACTTTGCAGTAAGTCAGTTAAGATCTGTTATGTCTCTGGGTGCTTGATTCAGGATGAGCAGAACTCCCAGTTAGTGAGTATTGTGTATTTCAGTTCTGATCACCATTTTATTTGTTTATATGGTTTTTAATGTTTTGTGCTGTGTTTTATTAGCTCTTATGTTCCAATCTGAGTCATATTACCTGAGCCATATAAATATTTCAAATAAATACTTTTTTTTTACATCAGCAAAATAACAGATGTGCAAGAAATACTTTAAATTCTTCATAAGTGAAGTGAAAGAAAAATCCAAAAAGTATGGCTCATACGGCATTTTATAAAAACTTTAAAAACAGACATTCAGAAATAAAAAGTTAAGCTTAGCTCCTTTGACCACTATGGTGTATTCTAAATGTATATATACATTTACTAAGCGTGTCTGAATGAAATATTAAAATAAGTTTATCTCTTTCAGGAAGTCCTGGGATATAAAGTTGACCATCAAGTATCTGTTTACATTGTAGCTGTATTGGAATACATTTCTGCAGATATTTTAAAACTGGTTGGAAACTATGTTCGAAATATAAGGCATGATGAAATTACTAAGCAGGACATCAAAGTGGCAATGTGTGCTGATAAGGTATATACAGTCATATTTATCACTATGTCATCTTGGTACTATTTGAATTTAGACAGGGACATGAGCTTCTGAGAAGTAGGAAATTGAATTCTCATTTGTTTCTCTTAGCATCATCTTTCATGCTAATATCTTGGTCCTCCAACAATTTTTCAAAAGGCTGCAGCATTAAAAAGGAAATAATGAACATCTCCTTTGCGCTTTCCATTCTTTAGTTGGTGGTTCATGATATTGATGCACTCATTAGTATTTCTGAGTGAAAATGTTTAGCAGAATCTTGAGATTCTGACTGTTGCGCAATTCTGTATAATTAGCAGCTTCCTTGAGTGTCATGAGATTGTGATGAAATATCTACTTGAGTTGTTATGCTTACTTAAAGTAAGGTATCATTGTAAGAATCCTTCTGCTGATATGATTTTCAGACAAGTACTTGCTTATATACAGTATCTCACAGAAATAAGTACACCCCTCACATTTTGTAAATATTTAAGTATATCTTTTCATGTGACAACACTGAAAAAATGACACTTGGCTACAATGTAAAGTAGTGGGTATACAGCTTGTATAGCAGTGTAAATGTGCTGTCCCCTCAAAATAATACAACATACATCCATTAATGTCTAAACCCCTGGCAACAAAAGAGTACACCCCACAGTGATAATGTCCAAATGGGGCACAAGTAGCCGTTTTCCCTCCCTGGTGTCATGTGACTCCATAGTGTTACAAGGTCTCAGGTGTGAAGAGGGAGCAGGTGTGCTAAATTTGGTGTTATCACTCTCACTCTCTCATACTTGTCATTGGAAGTTCAACATGGCACCTCATGGCAGTAAACTCTCTGAGGATCTGAAAAAATGAATTGTAGATGGCCTAGGCTATAAGAAGATTGCGAAGACCCTGAAACTGAGCTGCAGCACGGTGGCCAAGAGCATGCAGCGGTTTAACAGGACAGGTTCCACTCGGAACAGGCCTTGCCATGGTTGGCCAAAGAAGTTGAGTGCCCATGCTAAGGGTCATATCCAGAGGTTGGCTTTGGGAAATGTATGAGCGCTGCCAGTATTGCTGCAGAGGTTTAAGGGGGGGGGGTCAGCCTGTCATTGCTCAGACCATACCCTGCATGCTGCATCAAAGTGGCCTGCAGGGCTGTCGTCCCAGAAGGAAGCCTCTTTTAAAGACGATGCACAAGAAAGCCCACAAATGGTTTGCTACAGGCAAGCAGACTAAGGACATGGATTTCTGGAACCATGTCCTGTGGTCCTCTGAGACCAAGACAAACTTATTTGGTTCAGATGGTGTCAAGCGTGTGGGATGGCAACCAGGTGAGGAGTACAAATACAAGTGTGTCTTGCCTACAGTCAAGCGTGGTAGGAATGTCATGATCTGAGGCCTGCATGAGTGCTGTCAGCACCGGGGAGCTAGAGCTCATTGAGGGAACCATGAACGCCAAAATGTGACATACTGAAGCAGAGCATGATCCCCTCCCTTCAGAGACTGGGCTGCAGGGCAGTATTCCAACATGATAACGACCCCAAACACACCTCCAAAACAACCATTGCCTTGCTAAAGAAGCTGAGGGTAAAGGTGATGGACTAGCCAAGCATGTCTCCAAACCTAAACCCTATTGATCATCTGTGGGGCATCCTGAAACAAAAGGTGGAGGTGCGCAAGGTCTTTAGCATCCACCAGCTCCATGACATCATCATGGAGGAGTGGAAGAGGACTCCAGTGGCAACCTTTGAAGCTCTGGTGAACTCTATGCCCAAGAGAATTAAGGTAGTGCTGGAAAATAATGGCGGCCACACAAAATATTGACACTTTGGGCCCAATTTGGACATTATGACTTCGGGGTGTACTCACCTTTGTTGCCAGCGGTTTAGACATTAATGGTTCTGTGTTGCATTATTTTACAGGGACAGCACATTTACACTGTTATACAAGCTATATACTCACTACTTTACATTGTAGCCAAGTGTTATTTCTTCAGTGTTGTCACATGAAAAGATATACTTAAATATTTACAAAATGTGAGGGGTGTACCCACTTCTGGGAGATAGTGTATTATTTTAATTTTCACAGTGACAGTTTATTATTCAATTGTACAATACAATAGTCTTTTTTGATATCTGGTATTAAGATCTTCCTCTTTTTCAAACAGGTGTTGATGGATATGTTCCATCAAGATGTAGAGGATATTAGTACCCTGACGTTATCTGATGAGGAACCTTCCACATCAGGAGAACAAACCTATTATGATCTTGTAAAGTCATTCATGGCAGAAGTTCGACAATATATAAGGGAACTCAATCTCATAATAAAAGTTTTTAGAGAACCTTTTGTTACCAATCCAAAATTGTTTTCAGGTCATGTAAGTGCCTTGAATTTATTTTTTAATATATTGTTAGCATTATTTAGGAAAAATATTTTATTAGAGGGCTAGGAAAAAACAAAGAACGTAGCATCTTAAAATCAAGTTCATGCTTGTTCTAAATATATATATATGCTTTAATTGTATGCTTATAATGTACCCATTTGAGCCCCAAATTCTGTTGGCTATCTAAATATCTGTAACATACTTCATTATGTTCATTCATGTATGCCAGCTTTCTTCTAGAGCTAAGACCAGTTGAACTTTCTAAAAGTCTAAAAAAACTTCTAGAATTCCTTAAGAGTTTTAACAAACATGGGGATGAGATGATCCTACTGACATTATTAAAAGATTTTAAATATACAAATAGATAAAAATGATAATCAAATGCTCTTGAATAGCCTTCATATCATAAGAGGACTTGTCTGCTTTGTTAAAAAATAGAAAGTCTATAAATTAAAAACAACACCCTCCAAAAAACCTTTTAAAAGTCATGTTCACAATAGAGGAAAAGAAGAAGAGTCTAGGCTTGGGGTGAGCTAGGCAAATCATGAATATTAAACTATTCAAGATGGTAACTGAAGGTGGTAGACTGGCTACAAACAAAATAGCAATGGTGGTTCATTAGAATATCTGCAAGAAATACCACTTACCTGCAAGTAACTGGTACGGCCATAAAATAAACAAAGTAATAGAAAATTAAGAAATTAAATTGCTCTGGGACTTTAGAATTCAGTTAGGCGCCTGTCATATTACACCTCAGACTAAACAATTGTTAATAAAACAAGTCTGGCTAGTGGACATTGCAGTATCTGGAGGCAGCAAAATAGAAAAGAACTGGAGAAAATCACAAAATACAAAGACCTGCAAGTAAAAGTAGTAAACTGTTATAAAAGATAGTATTCAAGTAGTTTTGGGATTCCCCCTAAAGCACTGTTACTGTTGGTACAGGTAGTCTTGATATATGACCACAATTGAGCCCAAAATTTCTGTTGCAAAGTGAGGTAGTTGTTAAGTGAGTTTTGTCCCATTTTATAACCTTTCTTGCCACAGTTGTTAAGTGTGTCATTGTAGTTGTTATGTTAGTAACATGGTTGTTAAGTAAATCTGGCTTTCCCGTTGACGTTGCTTGCCAAAAGGTTACAAAAGATGTAACCAGATCAATTGCAGTGATCGCAGGACACTGCACTTGCCATTAATATGAGTCAATTACCAAGTGTCTGAATTTTGATCATGTGACACTGCGGATGGTGCAACAGTCATGTGAAAAATGGTCATAAATATTTTTTTCAGTGCTGTTGTAACTTCAGCCGGTCCCTAAATGAATGGTTGTAAGTCCATTCTATGTACAGGGTTGTCCTTGACTTACAACAGTTCATTTGGTGACCTTTCAAAGTAATGTATCATAGTATCACTTTATGAATATTAATTTAGATTTTTAATACTAGGAGTCAATTGCATCCTGTAAATGGACTAAAATATTATGGTGAGCTTTCTTTTGAGGCAATTTCCTGCCCAAAATGGCTATAAATACATACAAGAATACAATTAACAATTAACAAAGCATAAAATGTTCAAGAAATTAGTCTATTCAAATCTATTCCACATTATATATCTGTGTGGTATAATAAACACACACCTAATTACTGTAATTCTTATAAAGTTAAAAAAAAAGTCTAAATGTAATTCCATACATTTTTACTTCCTCATAATTCTAATTTGCTAATATGTAACATAGTAGCAAAGAAATAAAACTAAATCTGTAACTCTCTCTTTTTGTGAGAGTTGTAACTCTCACAAAAAAACCCCTGTGAAATAAAGTGTTTGGATATTTTGTATTTCTCTTTACAGACAGCCCTTGATTTACGACCACAATTGGGATTGGAACTTCCTTCACTAAACAATGTGGTCAAGTGTGTCCCACCTGATTTTACAACCTTTGTTTTGCTGTTGTCTTTAAGTGAATCCGGTTTCCCCCAATTATTTTGCTTGTCAAAGCACCCAGGGAATTACATGATCCTAAAATGCTGCAACTGCCATAAGTATATGCCAGTTGCCACCCAAATTTTGATCATGTGATTGCAGGGACACTGCAGTGGCCCTAACTGTGACGACTGCGTAAGTCACTTTCTTCAGCTCAGTCATATCTTTGAACAATTGTTAAATGGTCATAAGTCGAGGGCTACCTGTAATTGTTACAGGTAAGTGATACCAATTGTAAATTAGCAGTTTCATTTCTGTGGTTATGCTAGAATGAATATTTTATATATATATGTGTGTGTGTGTGTGTGTGTGTGTGTGTGTGT